TACCTCTGCGTTGCCAGTCGCTCTGCTTCCATTGCTTCAACCACCCCCACAGGGCATTTGCCACCATCCATGAGTCAGTATAGAGATAAAGTACTGGCCACTTTTCTCGTTCAGCAATGTCCAGGGCCAGCTGGATGGCTTTCACCTTGGCAAATTGACTCGATTCACCCTCTCCGTCAGCAGTTTCTGCAACTTGTCGTCCAGGACTCCATACAGCTGCCTTCCATCTCCGATGCTTTCCCACAATACGGCAAGAGCCATCAGTAAACAAGGCATACTGCTTTTCACTTTCTGACAGTTTATTATATGGTGGGGCCTCTTCAGCGCGCACCACCTCCTCCTTTGGTGACATTCGAAAATCTTTGCCCTCTGGCCAGTCCATGATGACTTCTAGAATGCCTGGATGACTGAGATTTCCTATTCGAGTTCGTTGTGTAATTAGTGCAGCCCATTTACTCCATGTAGCATCAGTTGCATGATGTGTAGAGGAGACCCTGCCTTTGAACATCCAGCCCAGCACGGACAACCGGTGTGCCAGGAGGAGCTGTGCTTCAGTGCCAATCACTTCCGAAGCAGCTCGAACCCCTTCATAGGCTGCCAGTATCTCTTTCTCAGTTGGGGTATAGCTAGCCTCAGATCCTTTGTATCCCCTACTCCAAAAGCCGAGGGGTCGACCTCGAGTCTCCCCTGGAGCTTTCTGCCAGAGGCTCCAGGTAGGACCGTTCACCCCAGCTGCAGTGTACAGTACATTTTTTACATCTGGCCCGGTCCAGACAGGTCCAAGGGCTACTGCATGGACTATCTCGCATTTAATTTGCTCAAAGGCTTGTTGCTGCTCAGGGCCCCATTTAAAATCATTCTTCTTCCTGGTCACATGATAGAGAGAGCTTACAATCGAACTGTAATTTGGGATGTGCATTCTCCAGAACCCCACTGCACCCAAGAAAGCTTGCGTTTCTTTCTTATTAGTTGGTGGAGACATTGCTGTTATCTTGTTGATCTCATCTGTGGGGTTCTGTCTACGTCCATCTTGCCATTTTATTCCCAAAAATTGAATCTCCTATGCAGGTCCCTTGACCTTACTCCGTTTTATGGCAAAACCAGCTTTCAGCAGGATTTGGATTATTTTCCTCCCTTTCTCAAAGACTTCTTCCGCTGTATCGCCCCACACAATAATGTCATCAATGTATTACAGGTGTTCTGGAGCTTGCCCCTGTTCCAGTGCAGTCTGGATCAGTCCATGGCAAATGGTAGGGCTGTGTTTCCACCCCTGGGGCAGTCGATTCCTAGTGAACTGGACACCCCTCCAAGTAAAAGCAAACTGTGGCCTGCACTCTGCTGGCAAAGGAATGGAGAAAAATGCATTGGCAATATCAATCGTGGCATACCACTTGGCTGCCTTTGACTCTAGTTCATACTGAAGTTCTAGCATGTCCGGTACGGCAGCACTCAATGGTGGTGTGACTTCATTCAGGCCACGATAGTCTACTGTTAGTCTCCATTCTCCATTAGACTTTCGCACTGGCCATATGGGGCTATTAAAGGGTGAGCGGGTCCTGCTGATCACCCCCTGACTCTCCAGTCTACGGATCAGCTGATGGATGGGAATCAGGGAGTCTCGGTTGGTGGGATACTGCCGTGGGTGCACTGTTGTGGTCGCAATTGGCACTTGTTGTTCTTCAACTTTCAGCAACCCCACAGCAGAGGGATCTTCTGAGAGACCAGGCAAGGTAGACAGCTGCTCAATTTCCTCAGTCTCCAAAGCAGCAATACCAAAAGCCGACCGGTAGCCTTTTGGGTCTTTGAAGTACCCTCTCTTGAGGTAGTCTATGCCGAGGATGCATGGATCCTCTGGACCAGTCACAATGGGGTGCTTTTGCCATTCCCTCCCAGTCAGGCTGATTTCAGCCTCCAGCACAGTCAACTCTTGGGATCCTCCTGTTACTCCAGAAATATAGATGGATTCCACCCCTTGACAGCTTGATGGCATCAGGGTACACTGTGCACCGGTATCTACTAGAGCCTTATACTTCTGTGGGACTGATGTGCCAGGCCATAGGGTACCCCGTGGCGTATACCTCCTGTATCTCCTCTCTTGAACAATAGGACGCCTTTTGTTAATAGCTGAGACGTGTGTTGGTACACGTGAGGAGCTGGATAAATCAGATAGATCGTCCCTCAATTGTTCGAGGTCCTGGGACAGTTTTTTCACAGCTGAGATGATGGAAGGGGTGAGATTGTCTTCGAACTCTCGGAGTTTATGAACCATTTCATCCACTGTTAGTGGTACTATGTCATTCCAGGTTACTGTTGCCAATGAATGGGCATATGATGACGGTGCATTCCGTGTAAGTTTTCGCCACATGGGTCGTGTACATTCAACTTCATCTGGATCTATAGGTGTATCCCCGTTATTCGGCTTGATGTGATAGAGCATCTCTATGATGGCCGATTCCCTCAGAGACTGGATGCCTTTGTCTATAGTAGTCCACTTGGAAGAACGACTCGTAACATCGTCCTTGTATGGAAACCTTTCTTTCACAGCTGCCAAGAGCCTCCTCCAAAGGCTGAGGGACTTTTTCTCTCTTGCAATTGCTTTGTCAATTCCCCCTTCTCTAGCAAGTGATCCCAGCTGCTTGGCTTCTGTACCTTCTAGTTCGTGACCATCGGCCCCATTGTCCCAGCATCGGAGTAACCAGGTGATGATGTGCTCCACTGGTTGAAGGGTAAAATCTTTTCGCATATTCCGCAGCTCGGTTGAGGTCCGAGGTCGAGAAGTTACCTCTTCTTCTTCATCTTTGTCATGTGATGATGACTCCTGATCAGATTCTGTACCAGGTGGTGAATTCATTGGTTCTTCATCTCGCTTCACCCTTTTTGCCTCCTTTTTGCTTGTTCTCTTGCATACAGGGGCAACCGATATTGGTGCAAAGTGGTCCTCTGATTTGGCTGCAGTGATTATCACTGTGGTTTGAGTAGCAACTGTACTTGTTGCTGGGGGTGGTATAGCTACTGTGCTTGGAGCTGGGGTAACCTCGCTGTCTGTTGCAGTTGAAGTTTGAGCAGCTGCTGTACTTGCCACTGGGGTAGCTGCTCTGTTCATTGAGGCCAAAGTTTGAGTAGCGACTGTTGCTTTGCCCTCAGATCCGCCGACATTCTTTTCCTTTTGAAGGTGCTGGATAGTGTTGAACAAGGCCCTGTAAGCATAGGCCAAGCCCCAGCACGTTGCCATGATTTGTCCATCTCTGGTATGGCCAGAATGACCACACACCTCATTTAAGTGTTTTACTAATTCTTCTGGATTTTGCAGTTGTTCAGTAGTGAAATTCCAAAATACTGGAGGGGCCCACTGACCTAGATACTTGCCCATACTATCCCACACACCCTGCCACTCATGGCTGTCCAGCCTCAGGGAAAATCTCTTGGTCCTCCTACATCGTCGTTTGACCCCAGACAAGACCCAAACCTGACTCTGCTTAACTCTTGAAATCAGTAGTGGGCAAAACACACTTTGTATGCGTGTTAGCATGGTGATTCCCATCACCATCAGCAAAGAAGTCTCAACAGCATTAAACGGCCATTCAAAAAATTCAAAACTCTCAAATGTAAATGGTCTGGGGGGATGACTGGGAGGGTAAAAGGATGTCTCCTTCACAGGTTGAGCACCTGAGAAGGAGAAAAAAGATGTGTAATTGCTAAGCACCTCCATCATATACCTCCCAAAGTATAAAGGTGGTGACCACACTGGGAACATAAGCCAGATCAGTTTCATGATCAATGATTCTATTGTATTACAAGTCATTACCATAAAGTACAATGGGACAAAAACCTTAGCCCAAGCCCCACACTTGAAAAACACTAATACAGCAAATACCGGATGGAAATAAGATACGATATACTGAAACTGTGAGATCAAGAGGAACAACCTTGAGAGCCAATAAGTCAGCATTGTGACGAGTGACTATTAATCCAGTCAGATCTGTTCTTATCTCAACCCCTCGTGCCCCACGTTGGGCGCCAAAAAGAACTGTCGTGGTTTAAACCCAGTCAGGTAACTTGTTCACTCACTCCCAGTGAATGGTGCCGAGCTGACAACAATCGAGGTCCGTGTCACCCCCCCCCCCCTTGCACCGGGGCTCTCCCCTTTCCCGCTCCCAGAGGAACGGGGAGGAGGATCGAGAGAGTGCAACTCCTACAGGTTGAGACAAGAACAGTCCAGCAACAAATCACCACCACTACTATCAACTACAACAATGATAAGGGAAAATAACAAGGGAAGAGAATACGATACCACCGGCCAAGAAAACGAGTTCCACCCGGAAGCCCCTGTCCTTCCGGGTAACTCCCAGTTACCCCTCACCTCAGGCATGACGTGCTGTGGTATGGAATACCTCCCCAGCTAGCCCGGGTCAGGCGCCCCGTCCCTGCTTCCTCACAGCTTCCCCTCCTCCCTGGCAGAGCATGAGCCTCACAAAGTCCTTGGTCAGGGTAAACATCACTTAGCAACAACTGAAAACATCGGCTTCACCAACACTGTTCTCAGGCTGGAAGTCAAAACACAGCACTGCACCAGCTACCACAAAGGAAAAAACATGACTGCTACTGCTTAACCCAGGACAGTTATCATCTATTTCATACATTAATAGTGCTACAGTGAGCCTGTCAGTATAATTAGAAGGTCTGAATGTCTTTGGTTCACTAATCTCTGTCATGAGTCTCCTATATCCCATGAGTTCAGATCTATTCCTTGCTTATATCTATATGAATCTTTCTTAAAATGTGGAATTTGAAGTACTGATATTCTAATTTTGAATGAATAGAAATTGTGAACTCTGAAACTAAAAAACTTTGCTATATGAATTGGTGGTTGTATTTGGAAGTAGACATAAGGATATAAAGACTAATATTTATCCCTATAAGCTTTGATCTTGTATTGTTCTGGGAAGCTGCTTTGTCCTATGAGCTGATCAAAGTTTTAGTGTAATTATTTTCTGTTGCAGATGAACCGACACGTTCCTTGAGTGGTCTCATCTTGAAGAATAATGTAAAAGCACATTTTCACAACTTTCCAAATGGGGTAACTGACTTCATTAAAAGTGAATGTCTGAACAACATTGGCGATTCCTCCCCCTTAATTAGAGCTACTGTAGGTAAGTTTACTCTCATTACTGTCTTCTGCATGCTAAAGATGTTACAGATATGTGAGCTGCGCTAGTGAGAATTATTAAACTCCTAAAACTTTCCTTCTCATAAATGTCACAAATGCACCATGTTTTGATACTGATATTACTCTTCAGTGTGCATATATGAAAGTCACTTATTTTTGCTTCTTGTTCTCTTAAAACTGATTTAGCAATTCAGTTCATATCTCTTGAAATGTGACATAACATAAGTTTACTTGAATCTACTGAAATTCAGCTTGATGCCAATTTTTATACCTAAAAACAGGAACAGGGTAAAGGCCTGACTTCAGAACTGTTTCAGCACTGCACTTGCATCAATTAGGCACTTCCGTTAGCTGATTTCCTCCCTGCCTCCCCATATGAATACCCCGTCAGGGAATCATTATACCATGTGTGACGCACATTAACATAATTATAGAATCATATAATAGAATCATAGAATAATTAGGGTTGGAAAGGACCTGAAGATCATCTAGTTCCAACCCCCCTGCCGTGGGCAGGGACACCTTACGCTAAATCGTATCACCCAAGGCCTCGTCCAGCCTGGTCTTGAACACTGCCAGGGATGGAGCATTCACAACCTCCCTGGGCAACCTATTCCAGTGCCTCACCACCCTAACAGGAAAGAATTTCCTTCTTATATCGAATCTAAACTTCCCCTGTTTAAGTTTGAATCCATTACCCCTTGTCCTATCACTACAGTCTCTAATGAAGAGTCCCTCTCCAGCATCCTTGTAGGCCCCCTTCAGATACTGGAAGGCTGCTATGAGGTCTCCATGCAGCCTTCTCTTCTCCAGGCTGAACAGCCACAACTTCCTCAGCCTGTCTCAGTCCTTCTCCACAGGGCTGCTCTGAATCTCTTCTCTGCCCATCCTGTAGCTGTGCCTGGGATTGCTCCGACCCAGGTGTAGGACCTTGCACTTGCCATGGTTAAACTTCATGAGGTTGGCATCAGCCCACCTCACAAGCATGAGGAGGTCCCTCTGGATGGCATTCCTTCCCTCCAGGGTATCAAGAGAACCACACAGCTTGGTGTCATCGGCAAACTTGCTGAGGGTGCACTCAATCCCACTGTCTGTGTCAGCAACGAAGATGTTAAACAAGACCGGTCCCAACAATGATCCCTGAGGGATGCCACTCGTTACTGGTCTCCAGCTGGACATTGAGCCATTGACCACAACTCTTTGTGTGGGGCCATCCAGCCAGTTCTTTATCCACCAAGTGGTCCATCCATCAAATTGATGTCTCTTCAACTTAGAGACATGGATGTCATGCGGGACAGTGTTGAATGCTTTACACAAGTCCAGGTAGATGACATCAACTGCTCTACCCCTGTCCATCAGTTCTGTAGCCCCATCATAGAAGGCCACCAAATTGGTCAGGCAGGATTTCCCCTTAGTGAAGCTATGCTGACTGTCACCAAGCACCTTGTTGATTTTCATGTGCCTTAGCATGCCATCCAGGAGAATCTGCTCCAAGATTTTGCCAGGCACAGAGGTGAGACTGACTGGTCTGTAATTCCCAAGGTCATCCATTTTCCTCTTCTTGAAAATGGGGGTTATATTTCCCTTTTTCTAGTCGTTGGGAACTTCACATGACTGCCATGATTTCTCAAATATGATGGCCAGCGGCTTCGCAACTTCATTTGCCAGCTCCTTTAGGACCCGCAGACTTGTGCGCATTCAGATTTTTAAGATGGCCTCGAACCAGTTCCTCTCCTACAGTGGGCGCAAGGTCTTCATTCTCACAGTCCCTGCATCTGCCTTCCAAGACTTGGGTGGTTTGGTCAGAGCCTTTGCCAGTGAAGACCGAGGCAAAGAAGTCATTCAGAACCTCAGCCTTCTCCAAATCCTGCGTAGCCAGTTCTCCCGAGAGCTTCCTGAGGGGGCCTACATTCTCCCTAGTCTGTTTTTTATTTGCTATGTACTTGTAGAATCCCTTCCTGTTATCCTTAATACCTCTAGCTAAGTTTAATTCTAACTGGGCCTTAGCTTTCCTAACCTGGTCCCTAGCTTCCAGGACAACATCCCTGTACTCTTCCCAGGCCACCTGTCCTTGCTTCCACTTTTTATAAGCCTCTTTTTTCTTTTGAATTTTCCTCAGCAGCTCCTTATCCATCCAAGGAGGTCTCCTGGCCCTCCTGCTGCACTTCCTTCTGGTTGGGATGCAACACTCCTGAGCTTGTAGCAGGTGATCCTTGAATATCAACCAACAGTCTTGGGCCCCCCTGCCCTCTAGGGCTATATCCCATGGAACCTTACTAAGCAGGTTCCTGAAGAGGCATACAATTGAGTTCACTGGCTGTTTTCCCCTAAAATCAAATCCCCTTGAGGTATACATCGGACTTCCCCATCTTCCCGCATTACCCACCAAGTATATCCAGGTCCCTGAGCAAAAGCAATCCCACGAGTGGGTTTGCCTTTACCTGAAGCAGGAATAACCCAGACTGTCTTCCCCAGCAAATTCTTCATATGCACCACGGGAACTTTGTCCCCCTCTACAATATGTAAAAGTTCTGACTGGGCTGGGCCAGCCCTGTTGGCAGATCCTCTGGTGTTGACCAACCAGGTGGCCTTTGGTAAATGTGTATCCCAATGCTTGAAAGTTCCCCCACCCATCGCTCTCAGTGTAGTTTTTAACAGCCCATTGTACCGTTCGATTTTCCCAGAGGCTGGTGCATGGTAGGGGATGTGATATACCCACTCAATGCCATGCTCTTTGGCCCAAATATCTATAAGGTTATTCCGGAAATGAGTCCCATTGTCTGACTCAATTCTCTCTGGGGTGCCGTGTCGCCACAAAATCTGTTTCTCAAGGCCCAGGATGGTGTTCCGGGCAGTGGCATGGGGCACAGCGTATGTTTCCAGCCACCCGGTGGTTGCTTCCACCATGGTAAGCACATGGCGCTTGCCTTGGCGGGTTGGTGGCAGTGTGATCTAGTCAATCTGCCAGGCCTCCCCATATTTATATTTCAACCATCGTCCTCCATACCAAAGAGGCTTTAACCGCTTGGCTTGTTTAATAGCAGCACATGTTTCACACTCATGAATAACCTGGGCAATAGTGTCCATTGTTAAGTCCACCCCTCGATCACGGGCCCATCTATATGTTGCATCTCTGCCCTGATGGCCTGAAGTGTCATGGGCCCACCGGGCCAAAAATAATTCACCTTTATGTTGCCAATCTAAGTCCATCTGAGCCACTTCAATCTTAGCCGCTTTATCCACTTGTTGGTTGTTCTGGTGTTCCTCAGTGGCCCGACTCTTGGGTACATGGGCATCTACATGACGTGCCTTCACCACCAGGTTCTGCACCCTGGCAGCAATATCTTTCCACAGTGCAGCAGCCCAGATGGGTTTACCTCTGCGTTGCCAGTCGCTCTGCTTCCATTGCTTCAACCACCCCCACAGGGCATTTGCCACCATCCATGAGTCAGTATAGAGATAAAGTACTGGCCACTTTTCTCGTTCAGCAATGTCCAGGGCCAGCTGGATGGCTTTCACCTCGGCAAATTGACTCGATTCACCCTCTCCTTCAGCAGTTTCCGCAACTTGTCGTCCAGGACTCCATACAGCTGCCTTCCATCTCCGATGCTTTCCCACAATACGGCAAGAGCCATCAGTAAACAAGGCATACTGCTTTTCACTTTCTGACAGTTTATTAAATGGTGGGGCCTCTTCAGCACGCACCACCTCCTCCTCTGGTGACATTCCGAAATCTTTGCCCTCTGGCCAGTCCATGATGACTTCTAGAATGCCTGGACGACTGGGATTTCCTATTCGAGTTCGTTGTGTAATTAGTGCAGCCCATTTACTCCATGTAGCATCAGTTGCATGATGTGTAGAGGAGACCCTGCCTTTGAACATCCAGCCCAGCACGGGCAGCCGGGGTGCCAGGAGGAGCTGTGCTTCAGTGCCAATCACTTCCGAAGCAGCTCGAACCCCTTCATACGCTGCCAGTATCTCTTTCTCAGTTGGGGTATAGCTGGCCTCAGATCCTTTGTATCCCCGACTCCAAAAGCCGAGGGGTCGACCTCGAGTCTCCCCTGGAGCTTTCTGCCAGAGGCTCCAGGTAGGACCGTTCTCCCCAGCTGCAGTGTACAGCACATTTTTTACATCTGGCCCGGTCCGGACTGGTCCAAGGGCTACTGCATGAACTATCTCACGTTTAATTTGCTCAAAGGCTTGTTGCTGCTCAGGCCCCCATTTAAAATCATTCTTCTTCCGGGTCACATGATAGAGAGGGCTTACAATCGAACTGTAATTTGGGATGTGCATTCTCCAGAACCCCACTGCACCCAAGAAAGCTTGCGTTTCTTTCTTATTAGTTGGTGGAGACATTGCTGTTATCTTGTTGATCACATCTGTGGGGATCTGTCTACGTCCATCTTGCCATTTTATTCCCAAAAATTGAATCTCCTGTGCAGGTCCCTTGACCTTACTCCGTTTTATGGCAAAACCGGCTTTCAGCAGGATTTGGATTATTTTCCTCCCTTTCTCAAAGACTTCTTCCGCTGTATCGCCCCACACAATAATGTCATCAATGTATTGCAGGTGTTCTGGAGCTTGCCCCTGTTCCAGTGCAGTCTGGATCAGTCCATGGCAAATGGTAGGGCTGTGTTTCCACCCCTGGGGCAGTCGGTTCCAAGTGAACTGGACACCCCTCCAAGTAAAAGCAAACTGTGGCCTGCACTCTGCTGGCAAAGGAATGGAGAAAAATGCATTGGCAATATCAATCGTGGCATACCACTTGGCTGCCTTTGACTCTAGTTCATACTGAAGTTCTAGCATGTCCGGTACGGCAGCACTCAATGGTGGTGTGACTTCATTCAGGCCACGATAGTCTACTGTTAGTCTCCATTCTCCATTAGACTTTCGCACTGGCCATATGGGGCTATTGAAGGGTGAGCGGGTCCTGCTGATCACCCCCTGACTCTCCAGTCTACGGATCAGCTGATGGATGGGAAT